GCAGCAGCAGCAGCAGCAGCAGCAGCAGCAGCAGCATAGCAGCAGCAGCAGCAGCAGCAGCAGCAGCAGCAGCAGCAGCAGCAGCAGCAGCAGCAGCAGCAGCAGCAGCAGCAGCAGCAGCAGCAGCAGCAGCAGCAGCAGCAGCAGCAGCAGCAGCAGCAGCAGCAGCAGCAGCAGCAGCAGCAGCAGCAGCAGTAGCAGCAGCAGCAGTGCAGCAGCAGCAGCAGCAGCAGCAGCAGCAGCAGTAGCAGCAGCAGCAGCAGCAGCAGCAGCAGCAGCAGCAGTAGCAGCAGCAGCAGCAGCAGTAGCAGCAGCAGCAGCAGCAGCAGCAGCAGCAGTAGCAGCAGCAGCAGTAGCAGCAGCAGCAGCAGCAGCAGCAGCAGCAGCAATAGCAGCAGCAGTAGCAGTGGAGCAAGCAGCAGCAGCAGCAGCAGTAGTAGCAGCAGTAGCAGTAGCAGTAGCAGTAGTAGTAGCAGCAGCAGTAGCAGCAGAGTAGTAGCAGTAGCAGCAGCAGCACTAGTGGTAGCAGTAGTAGTAGTAGTAGTAGTAGTTCTAGTGGGAGTAGTAGTAGTTGTAGTAGTAGTAGTGGGAGTAGTCGTCGTAGTAGTGGGAGTAGTACAAGTAGTAGTAGTAGTAGTAGTGGGAGTAGCAGTAGTAATAAGATAGCAATAACGGTATACAATCACAATGTGTACGGATAGTTTCTATAAATAGAAGCATGGTAGATATACATACCAAGTTACACTCTTACAAAAAGAAACGCATAAGCCATTTGTTTAGAAGAATTTATTGCGTTAGTTTACACCAATCGGTCGACCTGTCGAATACAGTTAAGGACAAAACGTCATTCCTCCGACGGTAAACACGCTGTCTTATAACTTGCCGGTGAAGAAGAAATCGTGATTCATCACTGAACCAGACTCGGTTCCAGTTTCTAAGAATCCAGTTCCGGACTCTACGACACCACTGCAAGCAATTGGGCCGATGGACGTCTCTCAAACAGGGGCAGTTTTGTCGGAATTTCTTCTCAATCCAGAGATGCGTTGTGCAGTCCCTACGGCTGTTGCAAATGAGAAACCTGGATGTAGCGGTCCTGGCTTGGGTGGTAACTCTTGGACGGCCGCTTCTCGGGCAGGGACCGATCCCTTTGGCGGGATATGGTGTTCTGATGAACGTTGAAATGTCGGGCAACTGCAGACTGCGACTCCCCAGCTTCAAGGCGGCCTATGGCGATGTTTCGATTGGCGGCACTCAGCTTTGGCATGATGATTTCCTCTTTTCCAGGCAAAAACGATTGACAACATTTAACACAACGTTTGCCTTTTTATAGTGATCGATACCGCATGCTTTTCCGCTTACTTGCACGTGCATTTTTTTTGCATGATTCTTTAGCGAATGATTCTTCAAACAGAAAAACGTTCAAATTGCCGCGTTTAGGGGCTGAAGCTGTTTACAATCCCATACAGATGACGTTTTGGAAGTCCAATATTCTCAAAATCACCTATGCGGGGTTTTTTAAGAGTGTATTAGTGTTCATTTATTTTCACAAAGTAAATATTTACTCGTATTAGAACATGGATAGTGATATTAGGGTAGACATTTTGTCCTTAAATCAGTATAGTAAGGACATACCAACAACAAGTGGAACTCATCTTCAATTACAATCTGTTTGGAATATAAAACTAGCACCACTTGATATTCAATGACGTGTTGTTGCTAATGTTAATCTGATCCTTGTCACAACACACCATCCATATATACTTCTCATCACTTGATTGTAGTCATATTTATCTTGATAACGGTGTAACCGCCGCCATATAGCTGTTATATTGCTGAGTGCGGCGTGAAACTAAACTCACTCACCGATGACGGTGTAAGAATCTGCATCGACACGTCGCTCTATGCAATAAACAAGAAGTTGTCATTCATGAAGTTGTATGCTTCATTTTGGGGCGACTGTGGTAAAGATACATTACAGGTCTGAAGGTACATTTCTTAAATCATTTTGATACGGCATTATAAAATGATCTTGGGAAAGTAAACCTTTTGCAGTCCCACGTTGATTTCACTACCTTCAACACATAGTTGATCGAAATAGTGTAAATATATTCCTGAAACTACAGAACATTTAACGTCCTGCGATGCACATATCTTCGTCAGCGGTTAATACATTTGTCGTATGTGATCTTCAGAACCCAAACTATCAGTGGCTGAACTAAGAATAATGGCTCCAATGTGGGTCAGATTTGGAAACAAGGATATGGTGATTCAACAAGTGCTGTCCTCAGATAAGATAAGCTGTGCTTTACTCATATGTTAAGTAGCGTGGTAATCTGTTGGCTTCGTTGTGATTAACGGACATATTGTTCTGTGCCTAAATGCATGCCGACATTTCAAGAGGACGTCGTTTGTTCCCATTTCGTATCACGAGATGAAATCCGGTAAGGTATGTATGATTGGTACAAGGATTAATATATCCGTATGGTCACAGACTTTCGTGGGATAGTGGTCACAGCTATCATTGAAGGTGTTTGTTTCAAACAGTTCAGTTTTCGTTGATCGTTACGAAAAGTAACTGACAAGTGTGATTAACAAATTAGTACTTGGTTCTGTTCATCCTTGGTAATTTCATAAACTGTCAGAATTTTTCTAGCGTGTCTCACAGTTCCCGATATATATTACTTTGCGTTAGTCGTCCATTAAAGTCTCTCACCGGACAGTCAGTCACATAAACCAGCCTCATTGCTTGACATAGCTCAGTCTCTTTGCTCCACATAACTCAATGCCCTGGATTCACATAACCCAGTCACTTTGTTCCACACACCCCAATGAGTGAGTGACTGAGTTTAGTTTTACGCCGCACACAGCAACATTCCAGCTATATGGCGGCGGTCTGTAAATAATCGAGTTTGGACCAGACAATCCAGTATGAGCATCAATCTGCGTAATTTGGAACCGATATGTGTCAACCAAGTCAGCGAGCCTGACCACCCGATCCCGTTAGTCACCTCTTACGACAAGCATGGTCGCCTTTTGTGGCAAGCATGGGTTGCTGAAGACCTATTCTACCCTGGATCCTCACGGGTCCATAACCCAATGACCTTGCTTCACATAAACTAATGCCTTTGCTTCACATAAACAAAAGTCTTTGCTTCACATAACACAATACCCTTGTTGGCATAACCCAATGCCCTTCCTTCACATAACCACTGCCCTTGCTTCACGTAACCCAATGCCCTTGCTTCACATAACCCAATGACCTTGCTTCACATAACCCAATGTTTTTGCTTCACATAACTCAGTGCACTTGCTTCACATAACTCAATGCCCTCACTTCACATAACCCAATGTTCTTGCTTCATTTAACCCAATATCCTTGCTTCAAAAAACTCATTGCCCTTGCTTCACATAACCCAATGCCCTTGCTTCACATAACCCAATGCCCTTGCTTCAAAAACTCAATGCCCTTGCTTCACATAACCCAATGCCCTTGCTTCACATAACCCAATGCCCTTGCTTCACGCAACCCAATGCCCTTGCTCCACATAACCCAATGCCCTTGCTCCACATAACCCAATGCCCTTGCTTCATATAACTCAATGCCCTTGCTTCGCATAACCCAATGTTCTTGCTTCATTTAACCCAATATCCTTGCTTCACATAACTCAGTGCCCTTGCTTCACATAACCCAATGCCCTTGGTTCACATTACCGAATGCCCTTGGTTCACATAAACCACTGCCTTGCTTCATCTAACCCAGTGCCCATGCTTCACATAACCGAGTGTTTCGCTTAACATAACTCAGTGCCCTTGGTTCAAATAACTCAATGCCCTCACTTCACATAACTCAATGCCCTTGCTTCACATAACTCAATGCCCTTGCTTCACATAATCCAATGCCCTTGCTTCATTTAACCCAATATCCTTGCTTCACATAACCCAGTGCCCTTGCTTCACATAACCCAATGCCCTTGCTTCACGTAACCCAATGCCCTTGCTTCACATAACTCAATGCCCTTGCTTCACATTACCGAATGCCCTTGCTTCACATAATCAACTGCGCTTGCTTCACATAACCCACTGCCTTGCTTCACATAACGCATTGCCCTTCCTTCACATAGCCCACTGCACTTGCTTCACCTAACCAAGTGCTCATGCTTCACATAACCCAGTGTTTTCACTTAACATAATTCCGTCTCTGGGCTTCATAAATTCTGCATCTTTCATTGATAATCTCTTTCTGTGTTCTTCATTAACCCTCTGGCTTCGTCTTTGAATTTATATCAACTAAATAGCATCTTACAACATCTTTGTGTGTACATAGGCCTGAGCAAAATGATACATCATTGTCACAAACATCATACTACAAAATCATTCAATTATGAGTGAGTTGTGTTTTACGCCGCTTTGACCAGTGTTGCAGTTGTACGACGGCTTCATGAGAGATTCAAGGAGATTTAGGTCCAAGACGCCCATCATCTTCAGTACCGTCAAAAAACATGAAACACGTCACTCAATATTTGATACTGATATTTAAATATTTTGAGAGGATGCTGCCAAAGGATGCAAATCTTCACTGCTTGAATAAGTTGTTTGCCAGGACCTTTTTCACACCAGTACTCATCCTTGCAGTAGTGTTTCGCTGAACTTTGAAAGAGCCGCGGCTCAGCCGTGACGATCCGAGTTGGAATTGGTCTTCAGCAACCTTCCCTTGTAAGAGGCAACTAACAGGATCAGGTGGTCCGACTCGCTGACTTGGTTGACACATGTCATCGTATCCCAGTTGTGTAGACCGGTGTTCATATTGTTCATCACAGACTTGTCAGGTCCAGACTTACCGACTGCCGCCATATAGCTGGAATATTGCTGTGTGCGGCGATAAACAGCAAATATAACAAAACAAAACACTTTCACCCAATAACTTTTAGGGCTTGAATAGACACCCGTGGTGGTATTACAGACGTTACATGTATGGAAAAATGCGATGTAGAAAAAAGACAATGTCCTAAAAGTCGTATTAAGGTAAACTTTTTAAGAAGCACGGTCATCCGGTTATCTGTGTGTGAACACTGACACGTGTACCCAGTAGACGTGACTCGATGCCAGTACTGTATCTATGGGCCTTATAAACCCGCTGTAAAAATGGCGTCCTTTGAACGTAATTCACTTGAGGATCGACGTAAATTCTTCATATATTCGGGAAAACAGTCATTATAGTCATTGTGGAAGGAAGTATCCTATAATAATAATAATAATAATAATAATAATAATAATAATAATAATAAGCCAGGATCACCCGAACCCTCTCTGCTGCATATTATCTTTAATCTGTAAAACATAATAATAATAAGGGCCTGATGATGTACGCCTCTCCGTGGTGGGCCTAGATAGGGGAATTATATTCCCTGAACTGAACGTACATCACCCAGTTAGGGCTGACCCCCCGAAGCTGGGAAATTACTGGGTTACAGAAAACCAAGAAGAATTCAATCTTTCACTTCCGCAGCCCAGTCAGCCTTCCTTCGGTAAAGAAACAAACCATACTGGAGATGGGACTTGCCCACACTACTTGAGTGTGCGAAAGCGACAGGGTGGCCTGATAATCCACGCATTAATGGCAAGTCGCTTAAGCTGCATTGGGACAATGCCATGCCCATGTATGCTTACCTGACGGAGCAAAATCTCCGCGACCAATTCCGGCGTCTTAAAAATCTCATACGCCGTGAGCCAGTTCAACCCACAACTGGTGCCCGTCAGGAACCTTTGCATGAGCAGAATGCTCAAGTGGCAGCAGATCCAAAACTTGTAATGGACGTCCGTGTCAACCTCTTTCCTCTTTCTGATGGAAACTCTTCTGGCATAGAGCCAATTGGCCCCGAAATGTCGGACCCTCACTCTTCCTCTTCTTCAGTTGCAGAACTTTCAGAAAATCCTGTGTATATTTTGTTTCATTCTATTTATGATGAAATATCTGCTATACCTTTAGAAAAACGGAGGCCAATTCAACAAACGAAATTATCTTTTCCCAAACATGAAATTGATTTATTAAATGACATTATTTCTATGAAACTTTCTACGGATTGTTCATTACATGAAGTTAATTGTTGTGTCTACGCTGCTGCTCGAACCTTGGAGGAACTTCACAGAGTTTCCAAAGAAAAAACATCTAATACTAAGAAGACTACACCAAAGAAAAACCGGTTTCAAGTGAAACTAACAGAAACTAGAAAATACGTTTCCTGGATAGAGCTGTGCCTGAAACTAAGATCATCAGGGAGTCCAATGTCAAAACGGCAAAAGACAATTTGGAGAAAATTGAAATTGCAGTACAAGACAACAAAAAGAAAAGGTACTTCTCCAAATTGTCCATTCCCTTAAGGCCAAAATAAAAGTTTGGACTGAAAGAAAGAAAAAATGGGAAAAGAAAAAATAAATTTATCAAACAAAATAAACTGTTTAGAAATAATGAAAAGCACTTCTACAGGCAACTGAAAACAAAGGGTGATGGTGAGCATGATAAACGGCCTTCCATGGATGCCAATGAAAGGTTCTGGAAACAGTTGTGGTCTATACCCGGCGACTGTAATCTTGAGGCACCATGGGTCCGTGATTATGACCATGCAATGCATGAGAAAGTAAATAGGTCGTTTGTCTGTTACATCTCACCAGATTGCCTGAAAAGTGTCATCAAAAAGTCCAAATCTAATACAGCTCCAGGGCCTGATGGCATTCGAAACCGGTATTGGAAACTGTTCCTCTGTGTCCAAACACCATTACTTCACTGTTTCAATTCTCTTGTGGACACAGGTGATGTTCCTCCATGGTTCTGCAAAGGTCGCACAATACTTCTCCCCCAAGAAAGGAGACTTGACGGATCCCAAAAACTTCCGCCCTATCACATGTTTGAATACTCAGTATAAAATATTCACAGGGTGTTTGACAAACCTCGTGTCATCTTACTGCTCTTCTAATGATATCATTTACAGAGAGCAGAAGGGGGCGACAAAGGGATGTTTGGGCTGCAAGGATCAACTTCTTGTACACAAAATGATTTTGGAAGAGGCTAAAACATATCCATGTGCTGGATTGACTACAAAAAAGCTTACGACTCTGTTCCTCACGAATGGATTCTGAAGTCTCTTCATTGTATTGACCTCCCGGAGCGACTACTTGATTTACTCAAGTCTTTAATGAGTTGCTGGTCGACTCAACTTGAGATGTACTCGCAAGGGCAGGTGCAGACTTCGGAATCTATTCCAATCAGAAGGGGAATTTTCCCGGGGGACTCCTTTAGTCCTTTGCTTTTTTTGTTTGTCTCTAAATCCTTTGAGCTTTCTGCTCAACAGAGAGGAGGGTTACCATCCCTGACCTCCTAAGCACAGATCACCAACACCGCTTACTCATCTCCTTTACATGGATGACATCGAGCTCCTTGCCAAAGGAGAA